TTTTTTGCCTCCTTCAAAGCTCCTCCAATGTGTTGCCTCAGTACCAGTAGTACTTCTCTTCCCTCGTAGTGAGCTGTCAAGTCAGAATATGTTTCCAAGATCCTGTCCTTAAGTCGAGTTGAGTTAATTTTATTATCACACTTTACTCCAAGCTCATGCAGCTTTAACGAGAAGTATTTCACCAAATTAGATAATTTTAATACAGGCAAGTCTTCTGATTCAAGACTTTCGTCGATATAGGCGAAAAGTTCTGCAAATGCAAGCTCTTCTAATTCTATTGGTGGCCTTTCTGCGTCATTCTGCAGTTGTACTTTTGCTGTCTGCTGGGCTCGATTATATAATCTCACCAAGCACTTAGTGTGGTATTTGGCCTCAGCTGCCATTAAATCTCCACACGTATTTAACTTTGCTTTTAACTTGTTGTCATTCACCGCATCTATACAACTCTCAACCTTTTTGTTCACTTCAAATGTTGAAAATGAATGTAGATTTATGGGATTGTCTTCCTTGTCACAGAAAAAACAGTAGTAGTAGAGGGCTTTGGAAGACAATGTGGCACTGGATCTTCTTGTTTTGAGTGGAATGCAAACGCCCCCGTCACTTTCAATCTGGGTATCGTCTTCATTAGCATCAGGCTGACCAGAAAGTTTTCTTTTCTTTGCTCGCTCAAGTTTCGTATTATTAAAAATGTCTCGGCACGTCTTATGCCATGATGCATTTCTCTGCCTAAGAGTTTCTTCTATCCCTAGTCCTTCGTCAAGTAAACTTAGATTCAACCATTTAGGAACACCACTAATGCTTTTAAACTCTAGAATGTTACTCGCAAATGAGGTATAGCCAACACTCCCATCTTTGCGCTTTGTATTTGCCGGACATTGCAATCCTTCTTTTGTTTTCCGCTGGCAAATGACACACTTGTTCCAATCCATGGGGATTGCAACTAAAATGATTAATTTGACACCGTTATTTAACTTTTACTTAATACAAGTTGAGAGTTATGGTGACATGCAGTTAATCTAGATTATTTTGATTGTAATTCATTCGACTAAGTTCAGGCTTTTATCTCGAATAGATTTCAGTCGAGTTCAAATAGATTCAGTCAAATAATTAAGCGCGATGTCATACTTTATTTAGAAATGACGAACGAGTTGAAGAGGTTATGAATTCCTAAGGTAAATATAGAAGAAAAAAAAAGAGAAAAAATTGATTGGATATAACCAAGAGAAACAAAATAATATTCTTACCTGCAGTAGCTGTAAGTATCCCTGGAGGCTGCCATCTTGAAAACCGAGTTGAGACTGGGCACCAATTTGCATATTATACGTAATATGAAGATACAAAGGCCTTTTTCAAATTGATACTTTATCAAACCGATTTATATGATTAGCAGAAAATATTATAGTTATATATCTTACTAAAAAAGCCACAAAAATAGGAACTTTTTGATTTTTCGACACAGGGATCCCAAGCTAAAGACGATTTTTTTTAAAACGATCACGTGATCGTGATTATTCAACTCAAAGCAAGTGAAATTGCTCACTTGACACAAATTCGATGTTTAGTGGTGGAAGTATCTCAAAACTGTCGTATTTTAGAGTGTTTTTATGTTGTAGCCTCGTTTCCATGTCGGAAATTCCGGGCATGCCCATTCCTGCTGTCCCCAAGCGAATTTCGCTTGGCCCCATTTAAAAAAATGTTTGTCCCAGGGAGGTTAACAATCATGCCAAGTTTCATGCTTTTATCATCAAAGTGAACAATTCGACCTTTTTTTTGACGTTAGCAGCTGGACTATTATAAACAAATAAAATAAACAAATAGGATTTAGCAGTGGTATTCCCACATGTGGCTCTTTATCCACTGAAATTCCAATTGGAATTATTGAATTTGATTTCATGGTTGGATAATATGACAATTTGTCCACACGAGTACGTACCTGTTTATTTTTCCTTGCCATCTCAACTCCAAGGCCCATTGATGCATTTCCTAAATACCCAACAGGACAGGGCGTGCATTGATACCCAGGCCTGAGATTGATGCATTTCGTAAGGGCAGAGCACGGATATAGATTACACTGTCAAAGCAAGTATTCGTATTAATGTAACTAGTAATAGATAATCTATGCATATAGTATAGGTTAAAATTACTACGATCGCTGGGGCTGTAAAACAGAATTAAAGAAAGATACCAATGCACAGACAAATAAAAGGATTTTTTAGGTTTCCAGCTTTCTAGTTCTCCAATTAAAATCAAAATTGAAAATAAACTAATGTTAAAAGACACATGCAACTTGATTGCCTTAATAAGCGTAATGCCAGTTTATCATTTCTGCTCATGTGTTATTCCCTTAAGTATCGTTTCTTTGTTTATTGTGCTTGTGAAGTTTCATTATTATGGATTTGACTCAAACAAGGAATCGTATTATTATTAAGGAAATGACCTAAGCTCAGAAATGCTAAAACGTTACGTACAAGCTTATTTGGGTCTCTTCTATATTTTCATCATTTTTTAGTCATATTTATATCTTTTTAGTTCATGCTGTCGTACCTCATTAACGTCTTCACATCGGATACCATTCCCCGTGAATCCTGGTGGGCATGGACCACACCTGAAGCCCAGTCCTTCATCAGGTGTTTCATAACATTCCACGAATGGAAAGCAAGGTTTTTGAAGGCACTTTCCTCCTGCAACTGAAATGGGTACGAATTCTTAGGTAAAGAAAAACAAGTTCTTGAAAACTTGAAAAACCGTGGATTTTGATATAAGCAATGGCATGCATTACTTTGTATGAATGTAAATAGAATGTAGCCTTTAAAAGAATATAGCAATAGAGGCTTTGCACCATCACGTAATGGCAGCCATGACAGGAGGCACAACAATAGTCTTTTCCCACTAGGAGACTGAATTCTTTCTCATGTAAATCAGATAAGACCAGATTTCATTGTTCCTGCCTCCCTCCATGGCTGCCATCACGTGATGGTGCAAAGCCTCTATAGCCCTTGACAAAAACAAGTGGGAATATTTGGCACATATTGGTCTCGCGGGAACTGGTAAACTACCGTTAGGGTTTATATATTTTACCTGGATTTTGTCGGTCGGTTTTTCTCCCAGGAAGAATAGTACCAATTGAATCAAATCTTTTTCCAGTTTGCTGAATCAATGAACCTGACTTACAAGCACCACCATGTTCCAGAAATGAACGTACGTATCGTACCTCTTGTGACTAAAACGTTCAATATTTAACAATTATTTGCCTCAGACTCAGCGATTATCGGTGAATGCATTCACCGATACGAAGTCGGGGTAAACATTCACAATGAATCCCAAAGCCAGGGGCGAATAATTAGTATAGACTAGCTAGAATTGGATATTTATTGGGGAGCATGCTACGTCATAGGCCAATGCCGGCTGACTAGCTTCTCTTGTAGATCGACCTAGATGGCGGATGTTTCATTGTTATTAATGCCTCAAGAGAATTTCCGGTCAGGTGATTGCACTCCAAGAACTAGGATTTTTTCAAGAGAAGTTCACTTCACTAACTTCAAAATGTATACTTCTCTCCGCAACAGCATACAAATAAACTAACCACAAAAAAGGGGGTTGTAAGTCGCCCAAGGACTTCCTCTTCCAACCCCACGTTACGCCACTCAAAAATACATGTTTGATTTGAAATCATATTTTTCGCTGTAAAATCTTAAAGTGCCCTTGAGAAAGATTCAAATACCTGAGAAATGCCTTTATTTTAAAACTAAGTCGTCTAGCTTGGAACGTATGTACCTCAGTTTCTCATAATATTCTATGAAGAATGTATATGTCAATGTTTGACGTACCTGGCTGTTTAGATCGATGCGTAACATTTCTATTGTCTTTCTTAGTGCTGATTCTCTATGGAATTGTTCCTTTTTTAGCTGTCTTATCATGTCCACTAAGTAATCAAGCTTTTCGTCGCTAGTAGTAAGAACCAGTTCTGTTGTGGGACTGCTACCGTCAGCCACACCAAATCTTGTTTCTCCTGTATATAGAAAGAGATAATATTTATATTTTCCATATCGGAGGTATTTAAAACCAACCTCAACGAGTCAACTCCCCCCGTCACTTCCCAGAATGCATGCACGAAACAACTAAACTATCAATAGGGGGTTTCAGGCACCGTAGGACACGCCCTTCCCTGGACACGCCCACGCATAATCGGAGGCATGGAAGAAATGCCCATAGGTCTAAAGTAGATTTTATGACTTTGTAACACTGACTGATGGCGTTTCCGTGCCGTGAACGTGACTGTGCCGTGTCCAAGTATTTTGAATGGATACGCTCTGATTGGCTACACAAATCTTATGACTTGTGTGCCGTGACCGTGACATAGTCATACAAAATCTATGTACTCTATGATTATTACGACACAGCCTGAAAATATATTTTCTTCCTACCTGATGTTATAATATCCACTATATTTCTTGTTGGTTTCTCCTTCTGGGTTATGGGTCTCACCGAAGGCTGTGGCTTGGTCGTACCATCTTTCTGAGGTTTAGTTGGTGTTGACTTGACAGTAGTAGCATCCTTACTAGTGGTTTGTCGCCTTTGGGTTGTGACGACTTTTACTGTCGGTTGATACTTATGCCTGTTATTCTTATTTGTCAGTCCACTCAGGATCTGTCGGGTTGATTTCGTCAGACAGTCGACTGGATTCGCGAAGGAATGGGAACGAACACCGAATATTAGGAGAACGCTCTGGAGGCTTCCCTAAAGTTCAAGTTAACAACAAAAAAATCGTTATTGGAAAAGGCTTGGCTATCTGCGTCAAGGTAATCAATTATTAGATATTTGGACAACAATGTTGTCTTTCTGTGTTGTCTGTCTGTCTGTCTTTCAGCCACTTTTTTTCTCTCTTTGATATTCAGCCGCTCTCATGCGGCGCTACCCTCGTTTTGCCCCCGCAGATGAGAGGTTGGAGTGAAAGCAGCTGCACCCAGGCTATGGACTCATAGCAGAGTCTAGTAAACTTTAAGTAATACACTACAAAAATCACACTATCAAAGATATACTAGGACGCTTTAATCTTCTAAATGTTTCAACTATTAATCGTCTCACCTTCCATGGAATGTATACTGAATTACTGGCTCCTCTTTGCGCGAAACGAAGAGCATATTTAACTTTCTCGTTCGACAACGGAAACAACTGATCCAGTCCTGCGGATATTTTTTTCTTGCCAAGAGACCTACAGTCCATGAATAATGAAACCACGTGTTTTCCCATGCGGTTAGTTTGGATGTGTAGCACCATCTTGTGCCATTTGCCATCGGATATGTTTGGTACTTTATCAAAGTAGGTGACGGAAGTCAGGCTTCCTTCGGGGTAGTACAGACTGATCCTGCAGCTACTGAAGCAGCTGAACAGGAGCGAAAACACCAAGTTGCCTGAAAAAATGAAATATTCCTTAGTTGTATCGTTTATTTAGTAGATATATTTTAAGTGTTTGACCGACCGACCGACTGCCCGACTCCCATCCATCCCATCCATCCCATCCATCCCATCCATCCCATCCATCCCATCCATCCCATCCATCCCATCCATCCCATCCATCCCATCCATCCCATCCATCCCATCCATCCCATCCATCCCATCCATCCCATCCATCCCATCCATCCCATCCATCCCATCTATCCCATCCATCCTATTCATCTCATCCATCCCATCCATCCCATCCATCCATCAATTCATTACCTTCTCCTTCGGTTTCTATCGATAATAGTGTGCCATACGATTTTCGATCTAGCTTTAGATTTGAAGTGATCGTCAAACTTTTAGACTCTCTGCTTGCTTCAGCTAGATCGCTAACGAACTCCGGTCCCAAGTGCAGCCTTGCTAACCCTCTGTCGAATCTGTACGCTTCTTCCGGTTCTCCAGGATAGCCTTCTATTCTGCCTAGCCCAGTGATCTGACCTTTTCCGAGTTCGAAACTTTTGATAAGGTCAAAATCTGACGATTGAAAAAGACACCAAATTAGCAAGTTCGAGTATGAACAGTATGAGAATCAATGAAGGTGTTTCCTACAAAAATGACTGTGATTTTGTAGATTCTCATTTTTTAAGTATTTAGCACAAGGAGGGGGGGGGGGGGGGGGAGAATATGAACCCGTTTTCATGAACACCTATGATGACGTCTTTAGTGATACTATATATATATATATATATATGTACGCATACGCACACCAGTTTTAACCACAGCTAAGGAAAACTGTTTCTTCACAACTTTACAACAGACTTTTCGCCCCTCAACATACAATCTTTTAAACAATTGTTTAGAAATTTTTCTTTTTATTTATTCATTTATTTTATTTATTTATTTATTTATTTGTTTGTTTGTTTATTTATTTATTTTGAATTATGAATAAGTTAAGAAAACGCGCTCGTTTACTGTGTGGAATCATAAAGCACGCGGGGATTGATTGACAGAAAACGAGAGAAGGGTACCTTATGACTGCACACAACACAGCAAGCAAGTTCGTCTTCTTCTTTTATAAAATTCAAATTATAGTAGCCGTTGCTTTGGCCACGAATGTCGGAATACAACGTGCGCGCGCGTGCTGTGTCAGCGGTGTCTCATATAATGCAATATGGCTCAGCACCATTAAGGCATGGCTCTTTTGAGGAAGTGATGGAAAATCAGTTATTTATTCATATCTTTGACAGTTTAC